AGATCAGCAAGACGTATTCTTCTTGTTCACCGTCTCTACGGGATGGTTTAGGTATGATTGGACCACCCAGTGGCAAAAGTATCGGCAGCGGTCTCAGGGCATCGAGACCGCACGTCCGTATCATTGCGACATTGGCTCCTCCCCAAATCGTAGCATTCTCCTTCCAATTATGGTCAGCCCAAAAATTCAGAGATGCCTTCAAAGGGGCATCAAGTGTGCTGTCCCATTCACTCACCCACACACATGTAATGGTGGGTTAGTGGGTTTATTAATATTCCCCAGCAGTTCCCTTCACTCAAAACCCAGAACTGTCTCAATTAAGTTCAGCCACAAGCAGGCCAATGCTACTCCACAGAGTAATGGCCAGTCATTCCACAAGGCACTTGAAAGGTTCCCAATCAGAAAATAGATTTTGAATGACTGTACTACTAAATATGTATAAAAATACGAATAACAATGGAAGGTTAGAACTTAACGATGGGCGATTATGGAGGGAAGAACTGGAAATTCTGCCATCTGCATTGCTCTGCTCCTCCCTGTGTGTTTGTGTGTGTGTGTGTGTGTGTGAGAGAGAGAGAGAGAGAGGGAGGGAGAGGGAGGGGGAGATGGACTGGTGAATCCCTCCATTCTACCGTTTTTAAAATACATTTCATGTCGTATTTATGGGACAGAGATAGGTCTTATTCCATTTATGATGTTGCTCTTGGGTGCATGTGAGCAAAAATCCAACTTTCTGTATTTCAGTACTCAACACCAAGGACATCTCAGTTTGGATCTGAGTCACAAGCACACCAGTGAGTGCTCTGAAAATACACGCTCAAGATCATCCCACGGTTCAAATTCACTGCCTTCTAGTGCAAGACTGGGTAAGATGTCTGAAAGAAGAAATGTCTGCTCTGTTTCTGTAGTCTCAGTGCATCGTAGATATGGGCTTCCCTTGGAAGAAGGACATTATTGGGGATAGGAGAGCTCTTGAAATGTTCTGGAGAGGGTCTTTTTGGGGGTGGTGAGGCCACCACTCTTCCACCTTCTATCGTCTCACAAACCTCAATAAAACTTCCTTTTTATAAACCTATAATCCCTTAATTTGGGGTGACTGAATGGAGCTGAGAGTTTACTAGCTGGATGCCCTTTCTAGTGCCTATGTGAAGTTCACAGCAGATATTCTTTTCTTCGCACCATAGGAGAGAAATATCTGCCGCTACCTAGGATTGAACTCTCAACCTTCCAAGTGGGAGGCGAGCATCTTCACCACTACGCCACCATGTCCCTCTTACATAAACCTCAATATGACCCACAAATGTTATGTATTGATTTGACTGATTGATTGGCATCATATCTGATTTATTTTGGTTGATTGGCATTGTACCTATAGACAGATTAGCATTATATCTTTTTCATAATACACTGGCATCAATGTACAGTTATTAACCTGTGTTTTTATGCATAGTTGATAAGCAGAATTGATGTGTGTGTAAGCATAAAACCTACCCAGGTAGGTTTTCTGCTTTGCTACACACACACAACATGTAGGAACAAAGATTTTATTTTAATTGCAAAACAAGGAGATTTCTGGATGAGAAACTTTAAAAAGGGATGGAAGAGTTGAATATAAGAGGCTTCCAGCCTACCTTGGAGTCCATCCATAAGGACAAAATATAATATTTGGTTCACTCTTGACCCAGTAATGACATCCTATTTTCTTCACTTCTGGTTCGGTAGTGGGAGTGCATGCGCAGAACGTCCTTGATGATGTCTGGGTGGGTGGGCGGAGCCCTGCTCCGCCGCCACTACCAGTGCAAACCGGCAGTTTACCACTTCTGCTCTTGACCATGCAGCAAAGGTCACTTAAAGTTGATTACAAGATGAGCATTTTTTGGAGAAAGGGGCTTTTGAGAGATGGGGAGAGGTTGCCTTCTACTCCTAAATCCATTTTTTTTTAAAGATGCTCTCCGATCCTGCATTTGATTGAGGTAGCTGTATGTTTAAATCAGTGGAGCTATCTTCATAAACTCAAATTTGGCCAAATTCAAATAGCAATAGCATTTATATACCTCTTCACAGTGCTTTAAAGCCCGCTCTAAGAGGTTTACAGAGTCAGCCTCTTGCCCCCAACAGTCTGGCTACTCATTTTACCCACCTCAGAAGGATGGAAGGCTGAGTCAACCTTGAGCCTGGTGAGATTCGAATTGCCAAATTGCAGGCAGCCGGCAGGCAGCAGAAGTAGCAGCCTGCAGTACTGCACTCTGACCACTGCACACCATGGCTCATTCTCAAATGAGAATTTTTACCAAGTAAAACTTTCTTCAAAGAGTCTTATTACCAACCTAACTGGTTTCTTGGCACTTAAAGGAATATGTTTCTTTTATTTCCCCTTCATTTTCCATTTCCAAGTAGGTTCCTCCAGCAACTTACAGTATAGAACAGAACGAATAAAAATACCTTTGACACCAAGGTACCCAAGATCCATCATTGGTTCTGACAGAGGTAAGTAATTTTCATGCTTTCTTCTTTTCCATCTTTTCTTTTAAATGAAGAATGTTACCGTAAGAACAAGCAGACACACAGTTCTACATCTTACAGTCTATTTTCCTTTCATCCCATATCATGGCTGTTCACTAGGATTGTATGAAATCCCCACGCAAATCTACTCATTCCAACATACGTTTGTGTCTTAGTTTCTTTCAGCTATTAAATAATATGGAAAGTCATCTCAAAAAAATGTTGATGGTACCTGTCCCCTCTTTACATATTATGGAAGGACAGTTTCCTTGTTGTGGCCCGCCAGCAGAGCTGGCAGCAGATTCGGACAATGAGGGGGTTGGGGAGGAACATGGGCTAGTCCTGGAGTCTGGGGAAAGCTTTGATGAGGGCTCTGTCAGAGGCAGAGATGGGGCCAGAGCTGTATGCCAGTTATCAGCTGCCTTTGGAGTCAGACATCAGTGAGGCAGACAAACAGCCTGTTCCCAGTGTGCACTTGCGAAGAGTTCCCAGATGAAGGGTCAAGCTAAAGAACAGAACAGGGGTTGACTTGGGAGTAAGGCCACAGGTGGACAATGAGTGGTCCCTTCCAAAGGAAATAAAAGAGCAGTGAAAGGGGAGTGGAGTTTGCAGAAGATAATTAGTTCGCTTAATTGATTCGTGACTCTCCTTGCCATGTTTTGCAGATATCAGCCTTTCAGCTCTCCAAGCCAGATAAGGTCTATGATTGTAAATCCTCCCTTGAAAGACTTTACTGGATGTGAATGAGCAGAAATCACAGTAAATTAATAAGAGGGTTTTTTGTCGGGACAAGGAATTGCTTCAGCCTCCATCAGAACATTCCTTCTACCCATCATATATCATGGTTGCAAACTCATTTCTGACATTTTAGCACCATATATCAGGAAGAGTATGGAGAGGAGGGAGGGGAGGAGAGAAAGAGAGAGAGAGATTGAGATACTTATGGTGGAAATCTAATCCAAAACGCTCGGAGGTAACCCGGTAGGAATATGGGAACTACTGTCTATGTTCATGAAATGTAAGTTTGCACCTAATCAACGTGGATCTTCCATCTGTCATTTATACAGGTTCCTTATCTCATTCCGAATGTAGCAGTCCCAGCTTGGTAACTCCTCCCCAGTCACCCCTTAACTTGGAAACCTCCTCTTTTGCCAGTAGCCAATCGCAAAATTCTCTTTCTACCTTGCCCAGGATTTCAGTGAGTCCGGTCTCAATGGGGCAACGTCGAAAAGACAAGTAAGTCATAGTTGAGTTTGTGTCAATGCTTCGTCTCAAGAGGGAAAGAACTTCGCATAGTCAAGCTCCATTTCTGGTGACCTCAAATCCTTGCAGATTTTTTGACAACAGTGTGGAAATGGTCCTCCATTGCCTTCTTTGGGAAGGTTTATTTCTGCTTCCCAATGTTATCTTATATTTTCCACCTTCCCACCCATTCCTGGGTGGCATCTCATACAACCAATACTAACCCATTCCAATCTGGTTTAACTTTAAAAGCCAGCTGTAAAGGTTCCAAATAGCACCCAAAAGTAAATCAGAGTTCAAGGCAAAATATTGCTCAAAATTCCAATTTATTAAGAGAGCCATGTTGACACATTTGGGAAAACCCGAATCTGAAAGCTTCCCAGTTTTCACCACCCAGTTGAAAGTTCAAGATCTTTCCCTCACACCCACAAGTCCATCACATGGTCCAATCTTCCATTGTCATGCTGGCAGTTCCACCCATCCAGTTCTGGTCAGGTGTAGAGGTGCAAAGACCATGAATGGCCTTGGCTTTCTAGAAAGAATTCTGTTATGGCTACCTAGCATCTAACTCCGTACAATTACCCTTCCCATTTTCCCACAATAGAAAATGTGTAGTAGAATAATAGAAAGTGTGGCAGGCCAAAGATCCAAAGGAAAAGATGGCTGCAGGCCTGACACCAGCAGGTTCAGCGAGCTCTAGTCACCTTCACATATCTTGAGGTGTGTGTGTGTGTGTTTTCTTTTTTACGATTCTTGTAATCCCTTTTATCAGAATGGCGACTGAATGGAGCTGAGCATTTGCTGGCCGATTGCCCTTCCCAATGCCTGTGTGGAGTTCAAGCAGATATTTTTTCTTTGCGCCCTGATAGAGAAACATCTGTCTCTGCCTAGGATTGAACTCTCAATTTTCTGAGTGGGAGGCAAGGCAGCATATTTTCCCAGCCTCAATCCCCTAATTGACAAAAGGGCTTAATTTAATTATATACCTTAGAGACAAGGGACATCCAAACCGGAGTTATTAAGAAATTAATCTACAGAGTTAGGAATGTTTTTATAAATTATATGGAACACTGTGTATTTATTATTTCTCGATTTTGCATCCTACATAAGCTACATCATACATAACCTATATACATACATACAAAGAGATGCGGTGGCTCAGTGGCTAAGAAGCTGAGCGTGTCGATCAGAAAGCTCAGCATTTCGGCAGTTTGAATCTCTAGTGCTGCATAACGGAGTGAGCTCCCGTTACTTGTCCCAGCTTTTGCTAACCTGACAGTTCGAAAGCATGTAAAACTTCAGGTAGAGAAATAGGAACCACCTTTGGTGGGGAGGTAACAGTGTTCCATGCACCTTTGGCATGGAGTCATGACGGCCACATGACCACAGAGACATCTTCGGACAGCGCTGGAACTTCAGCTTTGAAACGGAGATGAACACTGCCCACTAGAGTTGGGAACAACTAGCAAATATGTGTGAGGGAAACCTTTACCTTTACTAAGCCAAAATTCGGGCAGAATGTAACACAAATATGGAAATATCTCCCCTGCCCCAAATAGTTCATCCACTAAGGAGTTCATCGTTCCTAGAACATACTGCTCCCAAAATTTATTCATGTATTTACTCAATATTCCCATTTTTAAATTAAAATTTAAAATTAAAATTAAAATGTATTAAAATTAAAATTAGAATTAAAATTTATTAAAATAATTAAAATTAAAATTTATTAAAATAATTAAAATTAAAATTTATTAAAATAATTAAAATTAAAATTTATTAAAATAATTAAAATTAAAATTTATTAAAATAATTAAAATTAAAATTTATTAAAATAATTAAAATTTATTAAAATAATTAAAATTAACATTATTAAAATTAATTTTAATTTAATTTAATTATTAAATTACTTAAATTAAATTAAATTTTAAATTAAATCAAAGTAAAGTAGTAAAATTAATTAACATTAAAATTAAAACTATATTTAAAAAAATTAAAAACTAAAGGCAAGCCGTGCTTTTTGGGCAAATTGCTACTTTGCTTTGAGACCATTTCGAGGACAAGTATCTACATCAGGTGGCAGGTCAAGAAACAATGAATGGAGACTAATCAACCCAACCTAGAACTAAGGAGAAACCTTCTAACAGTCAGAACCATTAATCAGTGGAACAGTTTGCCACCAGACATTGTGGATGCTCCATCACTGAAGGTGTTTAGGAACAGATAAGACAGCCATTTGTCTTCTAGTCCAACCCTTGGGACTAGAAGACCTGCAAGGGCCCTTCCAGCTCTATTCTCATCAATTGAGTGAATTCTTTATGGGCAACTCAAAGGTTCATGATCTCTTTCTTCATCAACAACTTTTCTGGAAGCCTTCCTTTCCAAATCTGAACACACAGAATCCGTAGTTTGCTTAACGACTGCGGCAAAAAAGGTCGTAACATGAGGTGAAACTCATTTAACAAATTTCTCCTTTTAAGCTACAAATATTTGGGGCTGAACTGCGGTCATAAATCAAGGACTACTTGTTTCCTGTTAGTCCAGAACGCTGTGATTTTCAGCACCCACCCATCAGGAAAATCCACCAGATTGGAAAATTCCCACATCGTCCAATTGTAGAGCCTATAATATTGAGCCAAATAAGCCTCCAATTGTCAATGTTGATCAATGCAAAGAACCGTTCTCTAGTGATTCTGGAACCTATTCCATGACCTCAAACATGCCCCCCAAACATGAGACTAGTAGATAATAACTGAGTTTACTCACAACCAGAGGTAAAATGCTACTGGTTCAAGCCGGTTCACTTGAACTGATAGTAAAAAAAATGCTTTAAAAAGTAAGAAAAAGAAAAAGGTTCCTACGATTGCGTGGCACAGCTCATTGTCACAGCAGATGATCAGAATCTTTTTTCATTTATTTTTTTAGCCTTTTTTTACTAGTGGTTCGGGCGAATTGGTTAAAAAAAGGCTTTCCAAAAGTAAAAAAAAGGTTCTGACAATCAGCATTATCGTGGGAACTTTAAAAAAATTATTTAGCAGTTTAAAAATGCTAAAAAAAAGTTGGCCATGCCCACCTAGTCACATGATCCTCCCCCACAAAGCCACGCCCACAGAACCGATAGGGAAAAATTTTGAAATTCACCACTGCTCTCAATTCTAGTTGTCCAGCCTGTTGATTGTTTCTTCCTTCTACTTCATGCCATTTCCAGAGTCCTTGTTTTATCTGTGTCACATGATCTCCTGTACCTTAGCCTGCCCTGGATTATCAACAAAAGTATTGCTGTCCTAGTTAGCGCCATGGTTTTGTGGCTTTTCCTGCAATTTGGCCAAGAAACCAAGCAAGGAGTGAGTAGATAATTGTGAATTTGGCGTCCTCCCTTCTTAGCAATGGATTGTTAAGGAGGGTACAGAGGCCTATGGTGTGTTACTTAGCTCTTATAAATAGCAGAGCAGGGATCCATGGCCCACTACTGGGCTGTGGCTCGTTAGAAACTGGGCTGTGTGATCAGCTGGCCGGCTCCCTTCTCCCACCCCTGCTGGGCTACCTAGCCATGGCGACTGCTAAACTAAGGGATGCTTGGGTCTTGGCGTGGAAGGCACAAAGTAGGTAGATCTGTCCATAATTTTCTATGCTTAGTTAAAGAGTCTACATTACTCTGTAGAAGAGAATATTTGTAGCTGAGGGTGGAACTCTGAGCTTGGTTGTTTCCTTGCAGACATTTCATGACCCAACTAGTGTTCTGACCCCTCTCCATACGGTGAGACACGCCGACACAAGATTACTGCTAGACAATTTATTCACAGTAAATTAACACACCGATGTGACTTTGGCAGGAACCCAGACTTCCACAGATAAGAAATACACACCAGAGCTTCTCCAGCTTTAGTATAATAATTAAGTCCTGCAAAAAGCCTCCTCCCAAAGTCTCTTCTTATATACTCTCTTGGGAGGAGCCTAACCACAACCACCTGGGCCCAATTATCTCCTTTGTCTCCGTAATTGCTGCCTGCCTTATCCACCCATCTCTGCCAGGCTTCTGGGACCAATTCCCTCTGCACCTCCCCACTGCTCAAGGGCCTGACATCTTCACCACTGCTCCAGGGCCTGACGTCAGGGAC